GCTCAGACTCAAAATTAGAAGCCCTTTCATGAGCCACCATAAGCTCACCCTCCTGGAACACGTCCCTCTCATGGGTCGTCAAAAGCTCAGAATCAAACTTGACAATCCTCCTTTGAGCAGTAAGAAGCTCCCTTCGCACAAGGCTCAGATCCAACTTCAGCTTGTCATGATTATAGGTCCTCGAAAGCAAGCAGATAGAGAAAGTTGAAACCTAAAAAAAAAAAAGGGAGATAAGAGGTTGAGAAAAGTCAAAAACACAGGAAACGACTAGAGAAAGGGAAATAACAGACCCTTACTTGAGCCAGGCCTTCCAAATACGTATCGATGATCCTATCGGTACCCGAAACGCTAAGCTAAGAAACTTCAGGTCCAAACACAAACCTCCTAAACCTTGCCCTGATGGCTGGCGGACTCCCTATCATAGGACCAACCCAAATCGACACTCCGATAGAAGTTCTCGCACGAGGAGGGGACAAAGGAGGGGCAACACAAGGAGGGGATGAAGGTGGAGCGAATGTGCCCGGCAAGGAAAATTCTAGAGTAGCAACTGGAGAAGTCACTAGCTGAGGAAGAACCATCATGGGAATCACTTGGGGGGCATCATCCGTCCTTGCCACTTTGGAATAGGGAAGGCTCCTACTAGAGAAATAGGACACCACCACCCTCTTACTTGCTGCAAGAGGAGAGAAGTGTCAGGTAAATGAAAAATACCGAGGGAATAAGAGAATTAAAAAAAGAAACTAGCTCACCCCTTTTCTTCGAAGATGAACTACAAGATTTCTGAGAGGGAGCAACGACCCTAGTATCCTTGGGTAGGAGAACTCCCAAATCTTTGCAAGGGCAAGCCTTGACAGCCTCCAACTTCCACTCCTGGTCTCGAGAAAGCACAGACGTGTCTGCATGGGAATGGTGAGCACAAATGTGCAGCGTACCGAATTTTCTAGCAGCACCCCAATGTGTTGGCACAAAGCTTTGTCGGCTTCTGTAGCCCACTCTCCACCAACAAAGAAGAAGCAAGATTTTTAGCCGCCACAATTGGAGCGCGTTCCCGTGAGCATTGTACCACTTCTTGTGGTAAAGTAGTACCACCCCCTATTTGGTGCAGGGGTTTCGCTCAAATTGTACGGTGCATAGAACTCCACAGGAGAAACATTCTCATGATGTACTTTTCTCCACAATGCAAGAAAGCCCAGCAGAACTCTCTAACCATTGGGCGCTAATCGCCCAGGAGTCAAGGAAAAGTAGTACAAAACACGACAAATGGAAGAGGACATGGGGAATCTTAACCCAGTCTTAAGCATCTCCTCGTAAACAATAATATCACTAGAAGAGTCATCGCAAGCAAGCTCGCCCAACTCAGCCCGACGGCACAACACGGTCAGAGGAATGCGATAAGTAAAAACAAGCCTCGAGATATCTTCATCTAAACGGAACAGGTTGAAAAGGGTACTCACCTTAGACCCATTGTCATCAAGTCCCAATCTGCTTTTTCGCTTTTTCTTTCGAGGCGGCAAGGAGTGGCCCAGGTCATCCTCTTGAGAAGTTTGGATTTGAGAAGTCACATTTGAAGGAGTCGTATCGTGATGACCAAAAGCGGCACCTAAAGCTCCCTCGTCGCCCTCGTCGCCTGTAGTGTCTAGCACAACACTTGGAGGGGTGTTTGACTGCCTTTACTCGCCAAAACGGAGCTGCCTAATAGCTGGAGAGGTGCTTGACCCTTCAAAATTGCATAAAACAGCATTTTCGGCACCAAAATCAGCACCTACGGTGCCCGAATGCGCTCAGATCTACCCCTGCACCTAGGCTGCTGCCCAGTTCTCCCTGCTGCACCTTGGACTGATTTCCTGCACTTTTCGCTGAAGAAATGTTGCTGCCCAGCGCGTTTGAGCTGTCCAGGACAGCAGAAACAGTGTCCAAACGCTGCCTAGCGCACTTGAGCTGTCCAGGACAGCAAAACCAATGCCCAGGCAGCTGCCCAGTGCGCCTAGGCTATCCAGGACAGCAAAATCAGCACTCAGGCAGCTGCCCAGCGTGCCAGAACTGCCTAGAATAACCCTTTTTTCGCTGCCCAGCTCGCCTAGGAAGTCTATCTTTTTTTCTCCGTGCCTACCCAGGTTGGGAGCCATGCCAAAAACACCAAAACCCACATGTGAGGAGCCTGAACCAGCGCCCAAAGCAGCGCCTATTAGCGCTTGCACGAGCTGCTGCTGGTGTGCGCGAATGGCAGTGGCGGCTAGCGGGGATATTTCTCTTCCTCCTCCTTCGATCCTTGCAACTTCAAATGCTCCAAGATCACTCTCCTCAGCCCTAATTTCGCCACTCCTCATGGCACTGATATAGCATCTCTATTCCACCTCCTTCGAAGCTCTAAATAAAAAAACTTGAGGCATGCAAAACAAAAATGCATTGTGAAGGGAAAGAGTCATCTAGCAAGGAAGTCTCCATCACTTATAAACTCAAGAAGCAAATTAATTCACCCTTCTCCAAGTTTCCTTGAACACGGGGCATTGGGGGGCAAATGATGGGTCAAGCCCAAAATGGCTCAATCTATGTGCAAAAACCAAATTCTAATTGAGAAGCCCAACATAGTTCAAGACCAGCCAAACTCTTTGCTTAGCCACGTCATCAAGGGGGAAAGCATGAGAAGTCTTACCTGCACTGCCAAAGGAAACGGTCCACCCTCACCATATTCTTGACCGCGTCTCATGGAAAGCCTCTCAACCACCTCACCCGTTAAGAAGAAGTCGTGAAGCTCCATCGAAATAGTTGCTCAGTTGCTGTAAAATAGCCCTAACCTGTTAGGGACCACCATAAATTACACGCCCCACCAACACTTGGGGAGACCACACTGATTACCTGTGCATCACACTTTCCCTGAGCACGACTCTCTCCTCTCCCTCAAAGTTTGTACTCTCTGTTCTCCACACTCTTAAATTAAAAAAATACCCGGTAATTAGAACCATTCAAGAATGGACGTAGGTCGAGTTAACCGAACTCCTATAAATTGTTTGTGTCTCTCCATCTCCTTATATTATTTTTTATATTTATTATTCACACTTGACAGATGGTGTGCAAAATTATTTTGTGCATCATCAGTATCCATTGAAAAAATGTCTGCTTTAATACTTGTAGACGGAGAATTAAGAGGAGTCAAACCCTTAGAATGACCATAGGATCATAATAAATAAACATTTTACATGGTGTCTAACCAAATTTCTAAAACTTATAGGAGTCATTGGATAACGGGACAAAGAGGATAAAAATAGGTTAGATTGAACAAAATTGAGCTGGGCCTTCTTTAACCGATGCTTAATTGGGAAGCAAAAATGGTGTTAGGATATTCCATTTGAGTCAATATAAGGCCTAATTTGAATAAGAATTTTCTCTAATTCCTTCTCACACTCTCTAAGAGTTAGTCACCCTTATCCTTTTAAGAACATATTCTAACTCGGCTCAAGCAACAGTGGTTAGCCGCTGAGCTCGAAGAAGTAATCGAAACAAGCCTGAACACTGTATAAAAAAAAAAAAAAAAAAAAAAAAAAAAACAGAATAAGAATTTTCTCTTAATCAATCAAAGGGGTAAGCAAAATTTGGGGCAATGGGATTTCTTGACAAAAAAACTATCGTACCTTTTACTTTTAAAAAAATTGGATTATCTATGGAATACAATGATAAATTCAAATAAAAAAAGCTTTAAATCATGAGATAATCCACGGGACTCAATTAATTTTAAATTTATTTTCCAAATATATGATTGGTTAGGAATCTACCATTTTTCGAGCTAATACAACATGTTGTATTTAATAGGATTGGATTGAAAAGGATAAAAAAAAACTCCAATTCTATCCATTTCCATCATAAGGGATCAGTTTTATGTAAGTAGAACACTAGAATCCTGCAGTAACTCCACCATTAATAGTTATTTTATTGTATGTCAATAGGACATAATTTTGACTTACATTGTTGACTTAATTCACTATCGTTGTGGGATTAACAATGGATGACATCTAGAATGTGTTGTTAATCCAATGATGACGAGAATTGAGTCACTAAATTGAATTAACAAATTAGTTGCAAATGACATTACTCTTTGAAACAAAAAAGTCGAGATTTATTATAACTAGAATGGTCTAAAAGCATAAACGATCATGACAATATTCCAACCATAGGACGAAGACGAAGACTTCTACCCTTCAAGTCCTCCACTGCCCGTGGCAGGGGACAACGACGAAGACTCCTATCTTTACTTTCCCTTCCCTTCCCTTCCCTTCCCTTCAAACACATTCCAACATAAGTTCCCTATATATTTATTGACGGATTGACTAACTTTAGAAGAAGACCAGCACATGGCATTTGGACAAAGGACTGGACTATTTGATGGGATATCCCGCGTTCATTTTTGACCACCATTGGACTCTACTATTACAGTTAAAAAATGATTAGAACGCGAAACGAAACAGTGTCATCAGAGATGTGGCATTATTAAGCCAAGCCAAGCCAAGCCAATCCAATCCAACGTGGATGTATAATTGGCTTCATAATATCACATCTCTGATGACACTGTTTAATTTCTGATCAGTGTGTTAAAACTTCGTTTGATTTTTCTGCATGTTGAATAAAGCTATACAAATGATGTAGGACAAATTCCACCAATTATTAGATGTGCGACGCTGTTTTTGGAAAGATGTGCGACATTATTGATACCACACATTATCATCATCTAATAAGAAATTAATAAATACCTGCATATACCTTAATGAATAATAAGTAGCCCACTGATGTAATTTAACCATTTACACATGTAAATTAGTGTAGTTCAACTTCTCTATTTATTATTGACTGTGATTCCATGTGACAATCTTTCCACCACGCCTACACTTTTGTCGTGGTCTTTGGGTTACTGTATTCCAGCAGACTGGAAATTATACAATTGATGACCAATTAATGTTATAAGTCATTGATACAAAGTGAAGCACGACACCACCAACTTTTTCTTGCATTCCAAAAGAATCTCTACCTTGACTGACTAGTCCACGGTACAAAGGTAAAAGCTAAAAACTGAAGAAGACCAGTAGTATTTCATCATCGTATATGTATATACATATAGGCCTGTGTTGTGTATGCACATTGCAGGAGCAAACAGACTTGATCCTTTCTTTTCATAAAAATGAAATCAGTCATTGATTCTACTTCTGCTGCTGCTCCAGCAGTTGTATTGGCATGCATGGCTGCTACTGTTACTCTCTTAATGGCCACATCTACTGAATCATCTTCGTCGACAACAGAGGGAGAGGCTCTGCTCAACAGTGGTTGGTGGTGGAACACTGATGTAGAGAATCACTGCAACTGGGAAGCTATCATCTGCAATAAGGCAGGCTTTGTCGTAATGGTAAACGTTACAAATAGCTCCATCAGAAGAGGAGGTACGCTTGGGGATTTGAACTTGTCTTCCTTTCCACATCTTGAGCATCTCGATCTCAGCAACAGCTGTCTCAACGGAAGCTTACCCACCCAAATTGGTTCACTTACAAAACTCACCCACCTTTCTCTCCGGGATAATTTTCTTATTACAGGTGAGCTACCTCTATCCTTGGCTAACCTCACCCAACTGGTCTGGCTTGACCTGTCATACAATCTCATTAGTGGCCCAATGCCCCCTGAGATTGGGAATCTAAAAAATCTGATTTTTCTGGACTTGAGTAATAATCAAATTACAGGTTCAATCCCTTCATCTGTTGGTCTGTTGACTCATTTGAACCATTTTAACATTGGTTTCAATTTTCTTTCTGGATTCATCCCTCCCGAAATTGGGAGCTTGAGTAATTTGGTTAATCTAGATCTTAGTAATAACAGTCTCCATGGCCCAATCCCATCGTTTATAGGTCATTTGATCAATCTAACCTATCTTCATCTTCATTCAAACCAACTCAGTGGCTTCATCCCTCCAGAAATAGGGAAACTAAACAACTTATGTGCGATGAATCTAGGTGATAATAACTTGGTCGGTGCAATGCCTTCTTCTTTGGGTCATTTAACCAAGTTGACATATTTGAACTTAAGTTCAAATCAAATCAACGGTTCCATCGCACCAGAAATAGGTAATTTGATCCAGCTTCAGGGTTTGGACCTTGGTATAAATTTACTAGCTGGATTCATCCCCATAGAATTAGGTAGCCTAAGTAATTTGGTTGATCTAGATCTCCATAATAACATGCTCATTGGTCCAATCCCATCCTCCATAGGTAATTTGACCAATCTAATTAGTCTTTACCTTTCTTCAAATCACATCAATGGCTTCATCCCTACAGACATAGGGAACCTCACGCGTTTGGTTCATTTGGAGTTAAGTCATAACAATTTCATTGGCCCTATTCCTTCAACTATAGGTAATTTGATGCGGCTAGAAGATTTATCCCTTGATTCAAACTATATCAACGGTTCCATACCACCCAGCATTGGTAACTTGAGTAATCTTTACTATCTGAACCTGTCCATAAATCTCTTCAACCATGTGATCCCTAAAGAAATGAGCAAACTCCCCCGTTTGCTTAATCTTGATCTCCACCATAACCATTTTTCTGGTCCAATTCCTTCATCCATTGGTCAATTATCAAGCCTACATACTCTTGATCTCTCTGAAAATCAAATCAATGGCTCAATACCTCTAGGACTTGGGGCTTTATCCCACCTTAGAAATTTAGACCTCTCTCAGAATTCTTTGAATGGCCCAATCCCAGCAGAACTAACCAGCCACTCTATATTGCAGTACTTGGGACTAAGCATGAACAGGTTGAGTGGAAAAATACTCGTTGAACTTGACTCTCGATCAATGTTAGACTACTTGAATCTTTCCCACAATAATCTTTATGGCACAATTAGTTGTAATTGCTGCTCGTGCTCAATTGATTTATCAAACACTGCCCTGATGTATAACTCGACTTGTGTACTGCACAACAAACGAGTATCAACCTTTCTTGTCATTTTTCTTCCCATCACCATTTTTCTTGCCTTCTTGGTACTCGGATTTATTTGCCTTTCTCGAAATAAGGCTAAAAAAAACCCTAGTGCTGCAACAACGATGAAAAATGGTGACATGTGCTCGATATGGAATTACGATGGAAGCATTGCATATGAGGACATAATCAAAGCAACAAATGACTTTGACATCAAATATTGCATTGGAACTGGCCGTTATGGCAGCGTTTACAAGGCCCAGTTGCCCAATGGCCATGTATTTGCCCTGAAAAAACTTCATTGCTGGGAAGCCGAGGAGCCAGCTTTCGACAAGAGTTTCAGGAATGAAGTGGAGGTACTAACAAATCTACGACATAGAAACATTGTGAAGCTCTACGGGTTTTGCTTACACAAACGTTGCATGTTCTTGGTTTATGAGTACATGGAAAGAGGAAGCTTATTCTGTGCTCTAAGATATGATGATGAAGCTGTAGAATTGAGTTGGGCTACAAGAGTGAACATTGTCAAGAGCATGGCACATGCTCTATCTTATATGCATCATGATTGCACATCACCAATTGTTCACCGAGACATATCGAGCAATAACATTTTATTGAACTGGAAATTAGAGGCTTTTGTATCGGACTTTGGCACAGCTAGATTGTTGTATCCTGACTCTTCTAATCAAACTGTGGTTGCAGGAACTTATGGATATATTGCTCCAGGTAAACAATTATTGTTTCATCATTTTCAAGAAGATGTTCCTGAACTTACTGATTCTTACCACATAAGTTGCTGATGCAGAGTTTGCTTACACCATGGTGGTGACAGAGAAATGCGACGTCTACAGCTTTGGGGTGGTGGCATTGGAAACAATTATGGGAACGCATCCGGGAGAGCTCCTTACATCGCTATTGTCCTCTTCAGATCAAAATCTAATGCTAAATGATGTGCTAGACCCACGCCTCTCACCACAAACTGATCCACTACTTGCCCAAGATGTTCTTCTTGTTGCTACATTGGCTTTTGCATGTCTCCGTTCTGAACCAAAATCCCGTCCAACAATGAAGCAAGTATCTCAAGAATTTTTGGCTCGTAGGAGGAGACCGGCAGCCAAGCCCTTGCACGCAGTTTCTCTATGGCGGCTAAGGAATAAAGATGGAAATTTTCTGCTGAATTGAATTCGAGTGAATCAAAGATATGTACCAGTAACTTGGTCAGGAAATGACAAGAAAGATGTACATGTTCAACATGTTTGATTGCTGAGTATATGTCTCTGCAATGCTCCCCATACATTTGAACTTCATAAGTGCATATTGAAAACATATACGCACGGTTATCTATTATCGTAAAGACTAAAGACTTGCATTTGATAACTCATTTTATCTTTATTGGGACGTAATGTATTAACTTAATTTATTGATCTAATTCACTCTAATTATTAGATTGATTGTAGGTCCCATCAAATATTAAAACTTGGTGTTAATCCAACAGTTATAATAAAATTACACCGTTAGATCAGTAAATTAAGTTAGAAGATTTTTAACTCTAAATAACATTATTACATCTACTAAATTGAATTACATATTTATAAAAGTAAAACAACGATTGAGATTAATATAATTTTCATTCAATCTCATTTAATGATATAAAATTCATTCCCCCAAAAAAAAAAAATTTACCCCAAAATATCATCATCTCTGCAGGGCCTCCAATGTCGGACACCTTAATCTACATATTCTCCTCAACCAACACATTTCTTAATGTCCAACAACCTCAATAACCTACCTCTCTTTTATTTTTCCTACGTTATTCTAATTTTAAATTACGTAACTAACCAAAAAAAAAAAAAGAAAGAAACTTATGTTTTTATTTAAAATATAATTGTTGCATGATCAATACTCGATTTTGAATATTACAATGTGTCTTCAAAAATGTGATTTTTGCTAGAATCATAAAACTTATTTCTTATATGATCTCAAATCAAATTTCTACAACATATAAAAGAGGGCCAATTTTATGCAAGTGGAACACTAGAATCTTGTAGCATCCCCACATTTAATAGTCATTCTATTGTTTATCAATGGGACGCAATTTTCTCATGAATAATGTAATTGAAATCTAATTTATTGACTTTTACGTTATTGATTTAATTCATTATAGCTGTTATATTAAATTACCAATGAAATAAATTACCGCAAATCTATTAATTACAAGGAATTAAATCATTTAATTAAAGTAACAAATTAGGTACAAACAGCGATACTCTTTTCTCACCAACTAAATTGAAGCATAAAAGTCAAGATTTATTATAAGAGGAATGGTTCGGTTCAAAAGCATGTATGATCATGACAATTTTCCAAACTAGACCACCACTCCCTATCATCTCATTCAAATCCTCCTCCATTGCCCGTGGCACTTTTATCCATTTATGCCGCTCTTTCCTTTCCCTTCCCTTCCAAGACACGTTAATATATTAATAGATGGATTGACTTGAAAACATAGACCTACAGACGGCTTTCGGATGTGCTATTATTAATTCAAAGTGGTTGTATAAGCCAATAATTGTGATCTAAAAACTCGTTAGAAATTTTTGTCATAATGCTGGAAACTGCAACCAGAATATAAACAAATTGGTATTCAGCATAACCCGACCGACCGGGCCACAAGAAGACGGACAGAGAGTGGCAGAACAATGGTACTAGACGTTAATGAGAGATGAATGAGTTAATCTTGATGCAAGCCCAGATGAGTCTCGTGTGTTGATCGATGGGCTACCTCGGATTAAGTATATAGTTCCCTTTGTGGTGTAGGTTAAGGTTTCAAGCAAAGCAGGAAATAAGCCGAGAGAAATATGCATACATACAATTTTTTGTAAGGAGTGAAAGATTCGGATGGTAAAAAGATAGTGATTTTGATATAGAGATTGCTGGTGCAAATAATATGCTGAACCTTGCTGTAAACGAGCATGGATTTGAATTTGGGAGTGAGATCGTCAGCCCGATGACGCATGTGAAGAGCCCCCATTGCCAACACCAACATCATTTTCTCTTATGACAAAATTCAACTGTCCAGTTGCACAAGACTAGCCGATCATCGGATATCATCAAAATCTGCAACAGAAAAATAAGAGATTAAAAACAACGACGAGTCTAATCAAACCACACAGTCCCTTTTCCGATCAACAAACAACAAAATCCTAGATTTTATCTATTTGTTGATTTACTATTGAATGATGATAGCACGTGATAGTATTGAATGGTGATACCACGTGATAGTATTAACGTGGTGTCATCGTTATATTCAATATTTTCTCCCCCGCTTCACCTAAACTATTCCATGGTCTTTGGGTTGGTGTATTCCGGGAAATTTCAATATGGATGACCAATGTTACAAGTCTTGAGTCTCCGTAACATTGATGTGAAATTAAGAGGGTGTGAAGCACGACACCACAGATTTTTTCCTGCATTTCAAAAGAATATCTACCTTGAACGACTCACTGTAGATGTAGACAGATCAAGCTAAAAACTGAAGAAGACTAGCATACTTATAAAAGTCTTCGTTTTTCATCATCATCATCATATATATATATATATATATGATTGTGTATGCACGTTGGAGCAACAGACTTGATCCTTTCTTTTCATAACAATGAAGTCACTCATTGATTCTGCTTCTGCTGCAGCAGTTGTATTAACATGGGTGACTGCTACTATTACTCTCTTAATGGCCACTTCTACTGCATCATCATCCTCGTCAAAAACAGAGGGAAAGGCTCTGCTCAACAGTGGTTGGTGGTGGAACAATCTTGAAACCAATCACTGCAACTGGGAAGGTATCGTTTGCAATAAGGAAGGATTTGTCATTGTGATAAACGTCACAAATAGTTACTCCATCACAAGAGAAGGTATGCTTGGGGAATTGAACTTGGCTTCCTTTCCACATCTTGAGCATCTTGAGGTCAACAACTGGGATCTCCACGGTGAGCTACCTCAGTCCTTGGCTAGCCTCACCCAACTGGTCTGGTTTGACGTGTCGGGTAATCACATTAGTGGCCCAATACCTCATGAGATCGGGAATCTAAAAAATCTGGTTTCTCTGGATTTGACGAACAATCAAATTACAGGTTCAATCCCCTCATCCATTGGTCTCTTGACTCAGTTGACCCATTCTCACTTTGGTAACAATTATCTTACTGGTGAGCTACCCCTATCCTTGCCTAAACTCACCCAACTGGTCCAGCTTGACGCGTCAAACAATTACATTAGTGGCCCAATACCTCATGAGATCGGGAATCTAAAAAATTTGGTTTCTCTGGACCTGAGTAACAATCAGATTACAGGTTCAATCCCCTCATCTGTTGGTCTATTGACTCATTTGAACCATTTTCACCTTGGTGCCAATTTACTTTCTGGATTCATTCCTCCAGAAATAGGGAGCTTGAGTAATTTGGCTAGTCTACAACTTAGTAATAACAATATCAATGGTCCAATCCCATCATCTATAGGTCATTTGACCAACCTGACTTACCTTTATCTTCATTCAAACCAAATCAGTGGCTTCATCCCTCCCGAACTAGGGAGCTTGAGTAATTTGGTTAAACTAGATATTAGTAGTAACAGTCTCAATGGTCCAATCCCATCATCTATAGGTCATTTGACCAACCTTCTCTACCTTGATCTTCATTCAAACCAAATCAGTGGCTTTATCCCTCGAGAGATATGGAGCTTGAGTAATTTGGTTAAGTTAGACCTTAGTAATAACAGTATCCATGGTCCAATCCCATCTTTTATAAGTCATAATTTGACCAACCTGATCTACCTTGACCTTCGTTCAAACCAACTCAGTGGTTTCATCCATCCAGAAATAGGGACACTAAGGAATTTAATTGTGATGAATCTGGGTGATAACAACCTGGTCGGTCCAGTGCCTTCTTCTTTGGGTAATTTAACCAAGTTGGTACATTTGCACCTAGGTTCAAATCAAATCAACGGTTTCATCCCCCCAGAAATAGGTAATTTGATCCAGCTCATTGATTTGGACCTTAGTTTAAATTTAATAGCTGGATTCATCCCCATAGAATTAGGAAGCCTAAGTAATTTGATTCGCCTAGATCTCCGTAATAACAAGCTCACTGGTCCAATCCTGTCATCCATAGGTCATTTGACCAATCTGAATAATCTTTTCCTTTCTTCAAATCAGATCAATGGCTTCATCCCTACAGACATAGGAAACCTGAAGCAGTTGGTTCATTTGGAGCTAAGTTGTAACAATCTCATTGGCCCTATTCCTTCAACTATAGGCAATTTACTGGAGCTCAAAGATTTATACCTTGATTCAAACCATATCAATGGTTCCATACCACCCAGCATTGGTGAATTGAATAATCTTCACCATTTGAACCTGTCCGTAAATTTCTTCAACCATGTGATCCCCAAAGAAATGTGCAAGCTCACAAATTTGATTAATCTTGATCTCCACCATAACCATTTCTCTGGTTCAATTCCTTCATCTATTGGTCAATTGTCAAGTCTCAAAACTCTGGACCTGTCTAAAAATCAAATCAATGGCTCAATACTTCTAGAACTTGGCTATCTATACTACCTTGAACATTTAGACCTCTCTCAGAATTTGTTGAGCGGACCTATCCCAACAGAATTACAAAGCTGCAGCCACAAAGGATACTTCTTAAACCTAGTCTACTTGAATGTATCCCACAACAATCTTTATGGCACATTTAATTTTCAATGCTCCTCCTGCTTGTTAGATTTGTCAAACACTGGACTGGAGTATAACTCGATTTGTGCACCAAATGACAAGACGAAAAGAATCTCATACTTTCTTGTCATTTTCCTTCCCATCGCCATTTCCCTTGTCTTGTTAGTACTCGGATTTATTTGCCTTTCTCGAAGTAAGGCTAAAAACAACCCAAGTGATGCAACGACGATGAAGAATGGTGATATGTTCTCGATATGGAATTACGATGGAAGCATTGCATATGCAGACATAATCAAAGCAACAAATGACTTTGACATCAGATATTGCATTGGAACTGGTGGTTATGGCAATGTTTACAAAGCCCAGCTACCCAACGGTCAAGTATTTGCCTTGAAGAAACTTCACCGGCTGGAGGCCGAGGAGCCGGCTTTCGACAAGAGTTTCAAGAATGAGGTGCAGATGCTAACAAATCTACGACATAGAAACATTGTGAAGCTTTACGGGTTTTGCTTACACAAACGTTGCATGTTCTTGGTTTATGAGTACATGGAAAAGGGAAGCTTATTCTGTGCTCTAAGGTATGATGACGAAGCTATAGAATTGAGTTGGGCTGCGAGGGTGAATATTGTCAAGGACACCGCACATGCCCTATCTTATATGCATCATGATTGCACTAGACCGATTGTTCATCGAGACATATCGAGCAACAACATTTTATTGAACTCAAAATTGGAGGCTTTTGTCTCTGACTTTGGCACATCTAGATTGTTGTATCCTGACTCTTCTAATCAAACTGTGGTTGCAGGCACTGTTGGATATGTCGCTCCAGGTAAATTGTTACTGTTTTCACCAATTTTAAGATGTTCATGAACTTAATGATTCTTACCATCTAAGTTGTTGACGCAGAGCTTGCTTACACCATGGTGGTGACAGAGAAATGCGATGTCTACAGCTTTGGGGTGGTGGCATTGGAAACAATTATTGGAAGGCATCCGGGAGATCTCCTCACATCGCTGTTGTGCTCTTCAGATCAAAATCTAATGCTAAATGATGTACTAGACCCACGCCTCTCACCACCAGCTGATCCACTGCTTGCTCAGGATATTCTTCTCGTTGTTACATTGGCTTTTGCATGTCTCCGTTCTGAACCAAAATCCCGTCCAACAATGAAGCAAGTATCTCGAGAATTTCAGGCTCGCAGGGGGACACCGACAGCGAAGCCATTGCATGCAGTTTCTCTATGGCAGCTAAGGAATAAAGAGACAAATTTTTTGCTGAATTGAATTCAAGTGAATCAGAGATATGTACAAGTAACTTGCCCAAAAAAATAACAAAAAAGATGTACTACTTATGAATAATGGTTAACATGTTTGATTGTTGAATATAAGTCGGTAATGCTCCCCATACATTTGACCTTCATAAGTGCATATTGATAACATATACACAAGGTTATCTAATGATGTAAAGACTTAAGACTTGCATTTGATAACTCATAACCAAGTCAAAAGAGATTGACATCGCAAAAAAGAGGTTGGGTGCATTATCCCTGATATAGGCAATGTGATGAAGGTGTAACCAAGTGAGCAAGACAATAGAAGATATATATGAGAGAGAGAGACAGAGAGAGAGTACAACATGATTCAAGTACATATCAATTTTAATCCTAGACTAGCAGAAAGTTATACTAGTACAAGAGCACAAACAATGAAATATGATACTCCCCCATCCCCTTTCCCCAATCCCTAAGAAGCATAAAGGAAAATGCAAATACAGTTGATCATGCTCACCTGTCCTCACAGACTCTCGGGCTGCATAGTCACATGTTCCTATTACTCGTGTAACACGTGTGTTATCTCCCTTCGGACCATCTTCGCAAGTCCAAAAATCAAAAAGCTTAGGATTATAGTCCTGGAAAAGTAATGCCGAGAAAGACAATAAGACTAGGCATAATTCAGGAATTCAAGCCACATACCACATCCAAATTCCAACAGAATATTTGACATTTTGAAATCTCAATTTATAACTGGCCTTTCAACTTCCCCATGAAGAAAGGCAGGACCCTTTGACATACCCAGTGCAATTTTCATTATGATGGACCAAGGAAGAGGCAGGGAGCCTACCAAGCAGTATATGGTCATTACTCAATAATAAGACAAACTAGAGAAGGAAGTGTTTAGAAGTTCATTACAATTGATTGATAACAATCACAAAACAATAGAAAGCCTTATGATCCTGACAATCCGAAAGAAGAAGAAGAACAACAACAACAACAAAGAGAGAAAAAACAAAAAAAAAAAAAAATGTTAGACCATAAGGCGTTAAGTAAGCAAAGCAGTTTGCTAAACATAGCTCACAAATGCATTTTACCACTGCTCTAGGCAACATCCCCACTTGGGCTGCAAAGTATCATCATTAAATAATGAACCCTACAATATTGGTGTAACCACGACTATTATGCATTAATCATTATCATTGAAAGTTGCGTCTGGAAAAGAAACTTGGGAAACTCCCCTGGCAGTCAGGATCCATTTGCTTCTTTTTTCTAGTGACAAATGCTTCGGTAGTTAGTAGCTGTTCAGAACAACAAATTATGCCATCAGATTGTCTCACTGAAAACCTACTGGTCCAACTATTATTGATGAAGAGTTCATTTAAATCACTGTTTTGGGCAATACTTTCTCTCCAGATGCCAAATTGAGAATAAACCAATGCTATTATAATCAATCAAACAATGTTACCATTTAGATTGGGGACGGGTGTAGAATGGGGTCGGCTCTTTCTGTACCTGGCTTACAAAGACAATGTTATATGTACGTATAGAATCCTTATGTATAGCTATGGTGGCAAAATGGTAAAAGCATGTTTTTTGTTAATTTTGTTTGGTCACCAACACTAATAGGGTTGTCAAATCAGTTTCACATAATGTAAAGCATGGACATGAAATTATGCAAGGGGCATGGATCTTATTTTCCCTAACATACATAAGACCAACCTCATACCAATACATTTGGAATTGTCATTCCACGGTTCCTAGTGCTAAAAATCAAATTTTAAATGTGAAGAAAATGAAGGCAATAAAACTATTTTTATTTTCCAACCAAAGATAAAGTAACAAGCCTACATAGGACTAATAAGAATGTGAATCGTGGTACAGTACTTCCTGGGAAAAAAGAACGTACAATAATGCCATTCTGACAACCAACAACATATAATTACAGTATAAGCTAGTTTCAGATAAAGTAACACTTGTTGATGTCTCCACCAGAAATACATGAATGATGCCATTCCACAATTTGACAAATTCACTATGGAGCATAAGTCTAATTGATTGATGAATGGGAGAGACAAACAAATTTAGAGAAATAAAAAAGTTCAACTACATACTTCTAAACAAGTGATTCTCCAAGCCTCCAGAGGCATAAACTCATAACTAAGTAGCCTCACATCATCCTCCATGCAATAGCCAAATAATTTACCTCAGCCTATCACATGGGGTAGACCCTAAATAAACCACCAGTCATAAGTTAATAGAAAGAACAATAATAAGTTGTCTATACATGATTGAATTCAAGAAACGAGAAAATATCAGGTAGTTCCTTACAAAGCACCCTTTGTGACCCTGAAGTCCATCATGATTAAAGGTTTTTAAGGCAACAGTAAGCCCTGTGCCAGTTTTCACTGCCATATTTCAATCCTCATTGATGCAACCCTTGAAAACATAACCAAAACTACCCAGAATTGGTATGACGAAAAACAGTAACTACATTATGGAGGAAGCATTTTGTGGTCTATGCTCACTGGAGACCATCTGTGCATATGTTATGGCCCCTCCAGTGCACAACATGTCATCTTAAACTTGTTTGCTGCATGTTCAAATAATCAAATCACTCCCTTAGACAATACCACTATGCCTCCTTATTTGCTCTGAAATTCGTGATGGTTTTAATTCATTATGGTCATGTTGCAAGGCACAAGGAGACAATGGGACAACATGGGTCTCTAATCTAAAAAGGTCACACGAACTGCTTCTGAGGCATGAAGATAATGCCTTGTGATTTGTAGCATTGTAACATCAACAACGCGAGCTCTGTCGAAGCTGATACAAAAAATGGTAAAACCATAATGAAACATTTGTATCTCTTTGCACTTAAGTGCAACCCAACAAAATGTTTCATAAATGTGAAAACCTATTCTCATATCTATGATCAAGATCAACATTAGTCAAATCAAACATCAAAAGAGTCGGAAAATTTCTTTAGTGGCATGCCTTTTACAATCAAATCGGGTGAACACTTACTTCCCATAAATAAAAAATGACCAAAACCTTAAGTGGACAACAAAAATGCATATAAACATAAGAACCATCTAGTGATTCAGGGATAACACACATTGGAACATTTATCTAACAAAATAACAATCAACAAATATAGGAACAAAGATAAGGTCGTACTGATCTCAGAGAACATCAAAGGAGCAATTTAATAGAAAGATGTTTTGAAGAGTACCATGTTTGAGCTACTAATGGAGCTATCTACTGTGGACCCTGCCTTAACACCGAAGACATGTATCTCCCCAAAAGCTTGAAAATTAAACCAATTAACCAACATCCAAACTCGTCCACTTCGTCATCTTTCTTCCTCCTTTCCTTTAATTCAAAAGAATTTTTTTTTTTTATACCATCAACGAAAGAGACGACGACACGAGTGGCTTTCGATGCCAACTAAGTAAAACCAAGAGACTCTGTTCAAAACAGAGTGTGTCTGTGTGCGTTTGCGAGCGAGGAGATTTGTTCATGGGTCAACCCGATTCAGATACTTGGGTTTGAGCCGGGTGTGTTTCTGCTTGTACGTTCCACGCGTGCCAGATCGCCCCCAGTCAAGGGCCATATTGTAGTCAGACCATGGGCCGTTATGTTAACTCAATACATTTCCTCACAACCCATCAGTGTCTGCCCCAGCCCATATACTTGGTTGGACACAGCCCTTACCTCTCTACTCAACTATTTTTGGCCCTCAACAGCTAGCATTATGATCCGAGACTTACCCATTTACCTTTCTATTTGATTATTTAGGTAGTGTTTGGTAATCTGATGCTTGTATTTTTTTTGTGTTTTTGTTTTCATTTTTTTCAAAAAAAAAAAATAATAATATGTTTGGGATGTGTTTTCATTTTTTTTGTACTGCCTCGTTTTGAAAACAAGACGAAAATATAAAAACATAAAAAATGATGTTTTTGAAAACATCAAAAAAAAAAAAAAAACGCGCGCACACTTAAGTGGGGTTGTTTAATGAGATCTTACTTTCAAATTTTGTTAACACCAAAATTTAAGACTTTTAGTTGAAAGTATAAAAACCCTTTTCCTTTCTCTTTTTTATCTTTCCCTCATTTCTCTCTCTCTTTCTCTCGTTGGTTTCTCTCTCCTAAACCCGAAGCCCTGGTTTCTCTCTGCTGAAACCTGAAGCCGAAGAAGAATCGAAGACGAAGATGAAACCCACTTCGTCTCTCTCGCTCATTTCCCTATTTTTCCTTAATTTTATATCATATAAATAAGATAAAATAAAATAAATATATATATTTAAAACTAATTTTTTTTTTTCGAGGGGAAGATGGAAGAGGACTTGAACCCTTGACATCAAGAAGACAAAATCTTCATAAGGTAAGGAATATCATTGGACCAAAGGTCCATTGGTCCATAAATTTACATATATAATGTTATTTTTAGGTCTATATATTTTTACATAGATCTATATATACATTTTTGTGTTTGTCTGGTTATGGGGGTGGGTTTCGGTGGTTGTGGTGGTGGATTTTGGTGATTATGGTGATAAGTTTCGGTCGTGGTGGGATTTTTGATGGTGGTGGGGGGTGGATTGTGCGTTTTGGTGGTGGGGTTGGGGGTGGGTTTTTGTGGTGGGTTGGTGGGGTTTGGGTGGTGAATTTTTGGTATAATACCAAACACATTTTTTATTTTTGTTTTCATAATTTTTTAATTATAAATGACTAACAAACATGTTTTATATTTTTAATTTTTATCACAAAAAAAAAAATAAAAAAAAACTTAGTTCTGTTTTTTATATAAAAAAACATAAAAACAAAAATGTTACCAAACGCATCCTTAGTTTATTTTCGTATGGGTATATGCTAGCCTAAACTTAGGTTCACTTTCAGAGGTGCTGCTTCTGTGTGATCAATAGTCTAATATATATATGATCGAATCCAAATCCAATTAAGTTCTTGCATATCTGATCTGATTATTTGACAAATTTGAAAATTTCAATTCATGTCCAAATATGTTAATTTTTGGATACCTAATCCGAAATATGATCCGAGCACATATATAACAACAAACACATGTACACTAAAAAATTAACAATAAGAATTTAGATAATAAACTAAAAAGAAAAGAGGAAAAATAAAAATTGGAAGTAAAAGCAAGAAGAAAAATCAAACAAGATAGGGAAAAAATAAAAATGAAAAAAGTGGGTCTTATATTGTGATATTCACTCTATTTTTACTTATTTTCTAGTATAAGCATAATATAAGTGTGATATTTATTTGCATAATATATTATTTTATTCGGATCAAATTATTATAAATTCATATTCGAATTTCTTTAAACAACTCTAATCGTATTCAGATTGAATTAGATTAATGGCTTGAAAATTTGAACCATATCAGCTTAAATAAATTCAAATTTTAAGTTAAAATTCGATCAATTACCAGACCTAAACATAGGTCCTTCTATGTTGAACTAGGGTTTTATTATTGATATTATCTCAAAGTCTTCTTAAATGGTGCTTTATAACTTTGCACCTCGACCCGAATCTCATCATATCGAGCCAACTTGATCAACTCATAATTCTAACACTAATATCCATTATTCATATATATATATAAAATTTAAATCTTTTGGGAATCAGAGTTATCATTGGGTGGATCCATATCACTCAGCATTGTTGAAATATAGGGAAAGGGTTGGCAGTATGTCACATGGACTGTTTGGCACTCAGTCTGACACTGTCCCTTGCCCATGGCAGTAGCGTTACAAACGTCTCCTTCAAGGAAAATGACCCTTTTCCAAAGGAACACATCCTTTTCTTTTCTTTCTTCCCATCTCTTTGGCTTCTTCCCTATTGGAATCTGTGTTTGGATTCTTCTTCCCCACCACCCCCTCCTTCCATTTCTCACATCACTTACCTCCCAATCTTCAACTATGAGATCCAAAAATAATTTTTCGATAGCATATCTTTATTTTTTTCATTATAAAAACGTAAGATAATTTTATTTTGTTATTGTACATTACTTCGCTTTCTTATAATTACTATATATATCAATCAAAACAAAATTTAACTCTATATATCGATTTCGGTATAATACTAAAGTCTTTTTTGGTGGTATCTTTTAGCCATTTCCTCTCAACTATATTCTACTAACATCCTCTAAGCCTCATGCAACTCATCAACAAAAAAATCTGCACCTTTTTTCACATTACAAGAACCTTCTTCAAAGCAAACTATATATTTTTCAGTGTGCCAAGTGAAGGCTGCACTCCACCAACAATGATGGAAAATTTTAATGCGAGAAGAGAATCTTTGCTTAAAAAAAAAAAATCATGGCATGACACAGCAGGAGACCCACTAAAATCTTTTTATTATTGTGATATGAATTATTATAATCTTTTTGCCAAGTGGTCCAACCTTGCAAAATATTCTTACAAGAATGGGGATAATAGTGTACATTTCAAAACCCTCAATCTCCTGATACTAATTTTTAGCCCCATTAAGTTTGAGTACATATGTTCACTGCTATACACCAATCAAAAAGAAGTACGGCCTCGTCCACGAGACTTTTGCAGTGCAGGGTCAGAGGAGGAAAAATGGGTTTTGTAGAATCAATGAAAATGTTGCTGCTCTGACCATGGCCAAAAACTAGTTTGCTCTTCAATGCCATTAAACATGTTGCATAAGCTCTCATCCGGAGCCGTTTGATGAATTTTCTGATACTGAAGCCCTTGTCTCGATGATGAGCTTTGGAGGGCTTGAGCTAGAGATTGAGGCCCAACTGTGGATGGTGTTCTTGTTGTACCTTTGTTGACATCACAACTGTTCTCACTCCCATTGCTCCAAGAACCGTCAGTATCTTTGTTCAGATTAATGGGTCCAGTTCCAGTTGATTCTCTACATTTTAGAGCCAATAACTGCAGAATTTGAATGAACCAAGAATGATCAGACAAGTAATAGATTGATCTGGGGATTCTTTTGAATACAATTATAAACAACAAAAGGAAAAAAAACAATGGCAAGGGCAAGGAGGGTCATCAGAGGGTTTAGATAATGAAAAAAATGATTCTCTTTGCCCTTGAAGCTTCCAAACCTTTAACTATTGCTGAATGAAAGTAAAAGTACATTAAAAGACAATGCCTTTTGAGGCGATTATGGGCTCTAGGACTTGATTGATAGGAATAGATATATTGTTCTCCTCAATCTTAAAGCTATGCTCTTCCAAGTCCAAAATAACAGAAAAAAAGTGTTCCTCAATAAGCAAACCCAAAAATAGTAAAAGGAAGAATTAAAATTTAAAACAAGGAAAAAAAACAGCGTGAAATTAGCACTCCAAAAATCAATCAGAACAATTGTTTCTTTGTCACTTCTTGTAAATCACAAAGAGGATTTTCAGACCGGACCAAGCAGGAGGAGAGAAGACTCATTTTTCATTCTATAAAAGGGGGAACTATTGTGAAGCCTAGAAAGCGGAAGTGGCAAATTGCTTCTACCAAGTTTACCAACAGTAGCTTAATTTTTAGTGTTTCTATTCATTCAAAAATTGAAAAATTGAAAAAATTTCAGCATAGCATAAGCCAAATTCGATTACTCAAACTTTCCTACTTTTGTTTTTTCAACCTCGAAAAAAAAATTCAATATGCATATATATTAGAAACAATTTGATTCTTTCCTATAGAAATAGAATAGAAATAATTTACCTCTGCATGAAGTTTTTTATTCTGAGTCTTGAGGGAATCATTGTCAGCCTTAAGTGCTTCAAGTTGTCTCTTCAAGACATCATAGTCTCTCTCCAATTGCTTAGTCTTCCACCTTGCCCTCCTGTTCTGGAACCATATGGCGACCTGTCTTGGTTGCAGACCCAAAGCCTTTGCCAACTGCATTTTTCTCTCGGGCTCAAGTTTGTTACCCAATTCAAAGCTCTTTTCAAGTGCCTTTACTTGTTCCAAGTTTAGCCTCCTCTTCTTCTCTCCAAGTGCCGATCCATCATCAGACATGTCATCGTCTACACGCACTTCGTTGCACCTGTCAACACCCGAAAAGGACATGGATCTCCTCATTATGAGGGGTGAAACACCTGCACCGCCACAATCATTAACGACCCATAAAGGATATTGAGCATGTGTGTGTGTGTGTGAGAGAGAGAGAGAGAGAGAGAGAGAACCATGAAAGTCTTGAGGAGCATACGATGAGGGGAGGAGATTGGGGGAGTGGGTAGGGAAGTAGTTATCTTCATGGGTTTGGAACATGGACTCAGCTGATACAAAAGCCATATTACTACAAATCGTCCCACAGGCTGTGCTAAACCAATGTTTTAGGGTATGATGGTGTTAGTCTGTGGTTCTTATGGCGACCGTTTTGGGGAGAGAACATGGTGGCAAGCCTGGAAGCCAGCGATAATACGTTGAGAGAGAGAGAGAGAAGTGAGGTCCTATTCCTTCCTATTTATTTCTCATAGATTCTACTCACCTGCAATGCAATGTTTCTGCCTTTGTAATTACATCCTATACCGGGTTATTAATCGAGGTAAATTCGAGTCTAAATTGAACTGAATTTACACATAAACGAGTTGGTTCATTTGACTATTTACACATAAACGAACTTTAAAAAATGTTCAAGTTTGACTTGTTTAACAACTCTAATCCTATACCCGTAGAATTTGTTCTTTATTAACTATAATTTCGAAAGATACTTTGTAATACTAAAAATCGAATATTAATCATGGTTGACACTTGCAATTTATGTAATCTCAGAATTGACTTGGTAATAATTAGCCCCCCTCCCCAATCGGGTCTTGTGCTTCTCCCACGATGATTTCTCTTTAGAATTATAAATGGAATTCACTGAAACATGAGCAAATGTTTAGGGATTTGATTGAGGCAACTGATAGTTTAGTAGGGATCAAATGGAAATAAGGCAAACGTCTGGATTAAGAGTTTGATGATAGAGTAATAATTATATATTGATTAAAAAATAATTAATCTTGTCTAGTTAAATGGTATATGCGATTGTATGCAGGTGGACCATTGATCTTCAATTCCCATTTTGAATAGCGACTAACTTGCTGCCAAGCACAACATTGTTTCTATTTAGATAGAGTACCTTTTTTTTCATGGGTAATTCTATGGTATCAGAAAAAAAAAAAAAAAAAAAAATTCAGTACCGGTGCTCTTGCAATGACGTACTGGTATTCTTGCATAACGTGTACCAACCAACCATTGCCATGTGTTGTACGGGAGAAGAATTATGCAATAAAATAAACATACAATGTTAGCCTTGCTGAATGCTGAGTGTGTCATTAATAATATAAAAAAAACAAGTTTCAATAAATTCATTCAACGATCTCAAATACATTTATTCAACGATTATTAACATTTCTTTCAAAATCATTCACATTGTATAGTATTTTCAGGCATAGGTTATTCCTAATTATTTAAAAAGGGTGTCTTTAATCCTTACTTAAATTTTTATTCAAATTTTAATTGAAATAAAAATAGACTAAAAATAACTTTCAGTCTTTTACTCAAACTCATACTAAATAAATGGAGATTCAAATCTTTACTCAAGTCTTCAATAGCCGGATTTCATTCTTTTGAAAGATCCATTGTCATATTTTACATTTCTTTCAACTTAAATTTATCTAATTTTAAGTTTGAATTTGGCCATTAGAGTGTCTTATATCAAATGAAGAGAGAAGATTAAGAAATAGAGTTTGTTATAGAGAGTTTATGACTAGAGTTTGTAATAATAGGATACAAAATCAACACAAATTTATGGGATATTAAGCTTTAGTTTTAACAGATTAAAATCATAATCATATTATAAATTTTTAAGTTCTCTTACCAAATGGATCAACACGGGCTTTAGTATATATGACACGAATCGATTGAATGCGACACAAATCTATTACGACGTGAATTCAATGTCACATGATGATAAATGGATCACACACATTTTGATGGTGTAAATAACTTATAAATGCCATAAACTTGACACGACCCGAAATATTACCTAACCCTAGATATGATATCAGAGGTCTGGAGGTGTGTAATGGCTGTGTGAAAATCGAATCAGAAAATTATAAAAGTTGCAGAGCAAGTTTAATGAAAGAAAATCCATGACTGGGCCACTTACCAAATCACCACTTCTGCCATGAGGAAAACCTGACGAGCTGAAAAAAAATCAAGTCTTATTATTGAAAAGACAGCCTATTACAATATATATGTGTTTTTGTGTTTGGCAACGTAACTGAAGAGCCAAGATCAGTTCTTCAACTGGTCTACACAACTTATTTGTAAATACCATGATATAGGGAGAGGCCATTAAAAGACACTGTAAAAGAAATTCTCTCGGTAAAACAGCTCAAACTGATTATTATCGTCCTGAGATGACTAACGTAGCCTTTATATATATGCATTTATATGTTGTTTTTAAGTGATGATAGATCCTTATTTTTGCTAACATACGCGCCTCCTCAATGTTTTCCACCAATAATTCGGAAAAGACGATCATAGTGGTTTGATTACATGTAGAGCATCGGATTAACTACTAGATATGTGGAATGTTTTTTTTTTTTTTTTTTTTTTTTTTTTACTTTCGGTTTTGATAAAGCTTTTGGTGGCATAGCACTTGCTTGAATCATCCAAGGCACCATGAAATTTTTCTGCTTTGATTAGTACTCTTTCCACAAAGAACCAATGCAGCAGGAAAACACTCACCACCATAACTTGTTAAAGAAAGAGAGAAGGTGCACGTGCCTACTACTAATGGTGCCACCTTGAGGAAAGGAACATCCATACGAAGTTTCGGAAAAGTATAATACAATTAGAATTGCAGATGAAGTGCCCTTTTAACCACCCCTAGCCATCTAGTCCATTCCTTTCAATTCCGTATATTTTGCTCCCTTTCCTATCCTTGCTTTTCACATCAACCTTCACTTTCAAAAGGAATATGACAAGTTTTTTTGATAACCGGAAACCATTAATCACGTCTTCTACTCATAGTTATAACGTAAATTTCTGTTTCATGCATTTTCTTATAAACCAAACGTACTGATCGAGATCGAAATCGAGATTTTGGGGCATGTGGGACAGAATCAGAACTTATGACGCACAAGCTTACATTTCACTTGTTATTCAATCACTCAATTAACTGTACGAATTAAAGTACGACAAAGTGGTTAGGAAAAAATTGAATAGAATGGGCATGGGTCACATATCTGTTGATTGGGACCTCATTGATTGCTTTCATTTTTCGTAGTAAATGGGTATACCGGGATTAAACTCTCAAATTAGTTTTTTTTTTTTCAACGGTTAAAGGTGTATAGAGCAGTTTACGCACAACTCGACTAATTTTTTTTTTGATTCAGTTAAGGGTAGATCATCCACACTAGGATTAAGATATTTATAAAAAATAAATTTCTCATGGCGTAATCCCAAAGAATTGTCAAGATTTAAACTTAGGATATACGAGTTTATAACTCGTTTCTATTAACACTTGAACTATCCCTTGAAACTTTATCTTAGAATTTTGACCCACATCTGACACCTAACCCTTAATATCAGTAGTATTTCTTATATTAAGGGTTAGGCGTCAGGTGTGTGGGTCATTTTATCTAACACCTTAGTTTGGCCTAAAAATAAGCTCCTCACATGGCTTTCTTAGTTGGAAGATTAAGGGGTATCCCTTAAAATAGGAGGCCCTCCATGTTATATCTTGTGCTTATTTCTGTATCTTCTCCACATGCCCACGATGCCACTATCTTCTTCTTCCATGTGCCCATACCTCCCTCTCTCTTTCTCTCTCTCTCTCTCTCTCTCCCCTACCCCAAATGTGTGTTTTGTCAACTACTCTTTCTTTCTTAGCATTGATAACATCACTGATGTGGGTCCAACCATCCCAAGAGTTGTGACACCGTCAAGTCTTTTTTCTCTAATTTTGTAATGTGCAAAGATGGATCTATTATATTAAAGAAAGACTCGAGCTAGGAAATTGTCATGAAACTGATGAGACTCGATTGTCACTCTAACCAAAACTATGATTGAGGTTTGAACAACTCTAAGCCCCTCAAACAAACCCAGTTTGCCTCCTAATACTTGTTTTTATATGTTGAAGAACTATTAGAGAATAAACCCATGTGTTTCTGTTAGGCTGCTAATTTCCGGGTTAGGATCTACTGGATGGGAAATAATATGGCTCCCAAAAACAATAAATTCTGGTAATATTTCTAATTTTGTAGCCGCTGGCGGTACCATCAATTCAATTTGAACAAGGTTATGGGCTTTTTAATTACGATTGATAATGGGTCATGGTATATTTCTAAGTCGTGTCAAAAATATATTTAACTCATACTAGATTTATTTGTAATTATATATTATCGGGTCAGGTTTGACCCATGGGGTAAGTCATTAAGGTCATTGTCTAAGGCCCCAATTCTAAGGGCCCCAGTAATGTTTTTGGCCCCAAGTCTAATAATTCAGAGACAACTTTTAAAAGTAGAGGTCTCGTGAGGAGAAAAGCTCAACTTTTAAAGAGCAAGTCATTTCTTTTGGATAGAGTAATGACCCCATTTTTTTTTACTTATTTTGGATTGTTTTGAACATAGATGTCCATTTAATGTCTTTTCTAAATTGTTTCTCCTAATTCTCAGAAAAGGATTCAATTTGATTCATATATTTTTTATTTTTTATTATTGGTATAATACAAAAATCTAATAAATACAATTTAATATTATTTTATTAAATAATAATAATAATAGGGTATCATTTGTGTTGGGTTTTATTGAAATAGTCTGCCTTATCTGTAACTTCACTTGAGGAGTGGTCCAATAGTAGTTGGGCTTAACCTCTACATGATCTGTACATTTGACAGGATTGTGCTATATACCGGATAATTACTCAACGCCGATGTGAAGAAAAGGTTTGGGCCTTTACAGTGAAATCCAGCCGAAAACAAAAGTATCCAACTGTTTGGTACACCCTGGAGATACAACTGGGAATTGAGCCGAATTACTCGTGTTCGGTTCGAATAATACTCGACTCAAATTTGACTCATATTCTAAACGATCACAGATTGAACAATTTTTTATACTCATTTAGAAAATGAGCCTAAAAGTTCGATTCGTCTATACGTAAAATAGGCGAGAGTTACTCGGATTTGACTCAGTTTGGGGTCGGCTTATTTTATAAACGAATTGAACTTAAACAATTTTTTAGACTCGTTTAAAAAAAAAGCTCGACAAACTCGATTCAAACTTATAAAATTTGACTCGATCATCAGCCCTACCAAGGGAGACTTATCATCCTAACTTTTAAATGGAGAACTAAGTCCAAATATGTATTGGTCAATTGTGAGATTTCTACACTAAAATCAGAGATATCTTAAGGGTGAATGGTTTAGGACGGGCTTTGAAAGAGGAAAATTGTCATGGGTTCCGGTCATGGAATAGTCTCTAT